CTCGTTCTCTTCTGATTCTTCAATTGATGCTAATATATGTCTGCATTGTTAACAAAGTTTTTTGCCTGGCACTACAAGTTTGTCTTTACTGCATAAATATTTTGCTGTATCCAAGTTGATTTTACGAAGACTCCCTAAAAAAAATGATTAACTCTTTTATTATGTATCAAAATTTGAATAAAACATTAATTAAAAGTGCACTTCCAAAAGTCACCTAAAAGCTAGGTTAAATATAGCTAAAATAGAATTTGCTTGCAAAGAATTTCATTATTGTATCCCACAACATTTTCACAAAACTAAAAGTTATGATTACTATAAATACCTTTTATAACTTTGTTATGACTATTGAATGAATTTCAGCATCTTGTTAATTTAGGTGCATAACTTCAAATAAATATGTTTATGATGGAGACAAGTTGTTGGTTTGACATTGATTATATATAGCCCAGTTTTCCACATCAATATTTCTCTTTCATATTCAGGAATATCTTCAAAAGATTTGATTCCAAGCAACGATATATATGTTGAAAGATGACATTCACTTTCTAGCTTGATGCCAATGGAGCATTGTTGGCTGTTTGCCATGACTAAGAAACTAAATTACCAAACAAAAATCAAAAAACTATAGTTGTTTAAGCTTAAAATTATTTTAATTTTAGATGAAATAATCTAATATAAACTAATTTTAAGCTTAAACCACTGTTGTTTTAACAATATAACTGATATCATAAATCAAATTTATACATCATAGCAGGCATTGCAATACTATATTTTTACATAACAATTCTCTTCACTTATATAACAAAACTTCATTTATATAACAAAACCAACCTCAATAAAATGTTTTTACACATCACAACTGAAACCATGAGAGTCAGACAATACGCAAAAACCTTATCGCTTTAGCGTTAAGTGATTTTTTACCATTACAAAATAAAAAAAACAGTTATCAAACATTTTGAATTAGGTTATTTTCTTTTCTACTTTGGATTCAAAAATGATTAGGTACCAATTTTCAGTCAGTTTCTTCCACTAAAACTTAAATTATTTTCACATATAAAATTGATAAAATTATGAATTTGGATTTGAGTTTGAAAAAATCTATGAAGTTGAATTCGAGTCCAAATAAGGAATTTTTTATCTAAATTTCAAAATGACATATCTTTATCATGCTTTAAGAAACCAAAACCATCTTTTTTTTAAAGATAGCCTAGGATCACCTACTTCATTTGAAAAAAAATCCATGAAACTTGTACAACTGGAGTAAATGAAAGCACAACCTATGGTAACAGAACAAAAATTTTGACAGACCATTTTAAAATCAAATAACTATCAAAAAATTTAAATTTTACTATTTTCTTTACACTTTTGAATTCAGCACCTTCAAATATGGTCAGGTACCATAGCCACATTAGATCTTAAATTATTTAGTAAATAGTACAAAACTACAAAATCCATAATGGGGGACTTGACAAAAAATGGAATGTTTTAGGCTGAATTTCAAAACGTCATAACTTTTGAACCATTTAAACATATGCGGTAGTGGTGTAGTGGTAGAGCGCTCGCTCATAAATGAGTGGTTCTGAGTTCAATCCCCTCCACGTCCCTGGTAGTACTGCGCTCAACTCGTTTCTTCGCGCAGCGGCCTTGTTTGTCAAGGTTCGTGTTTTGGAGTTATAGAGCTGAGAGAGGGTTATAGCCACAAATAAGTAGCCTCCTCATCTGTAGTGGCCTTCTCGGCCTTGAGGTGGTGAATTAATATAAAAAATAAATAAATAAAAAAATTTAGATTTGTGAGCTTAAACTTTACACTTTTTCATGTTTCATTATTATGTACCACTGGGTAAAATTTGAAAGAAATATGAAAGGGTGTTTCAAAGATTTTAACTTTTTATCCCAGTTTTACTTGGAAATACCCCTTAGCATTACTTACTTTAGTTTGCCCTTCTTATGAAAGTGATAATTTTAGTTTTGGTTACTATGGATACCTATTTTTGCAAACTAACAATCTATATTTGGTAGATCTATTATGTGTAGTATATACTCTGTATTTAGTATGTGCATTAGTTTGAGATTCAAACTTCTTATGAAGGTGAAGTATTTTATATTTGGCTGCTATGGATATCTAATTTTGCATAGTATCAACCTGTTTTTGGTAGTTGCACACCTTTCATGTGTACAATACACATTTTAATTAGTTTGTGCATTATTATAAGATTTGCCCTTTTTATAAAGGATTTTAAATTTTTATTGGTTGCTATGAATACCTAATTTTGCATAGCAGCAACCTATTTTAATAGTTGCAGATTTTTTATGAGTTCTATATTCACTAAACTTTGTTATGAGTACCAATATGAAGCTGCAAAATTGATAATTTAAACTTATATTACTTAACAACCAGATACTTTCCTTAGTTACACAGAGTTACATGATTTTTAAAATATATTTTTATCAAAATTTCAACTATCTTTTTTTTTAAATAATTAAGTATTAATGTAAATAATTTTAGGTAAAGATTTAGATAATTAATAATAAAAACAAAAAGTAGCGCAAGAAAAAGTTTCTGATTCAAAGTACATCTACAGTTTATAAAACATACATACATAAAATAAGAAATCATATTTTGGGTCAACACATATTTAAATAATAAAATTAAATTTTTATACTATGGCCTATTCTACTATCAATTTATTACAGCTTAAAATAGCATTAATAGCCATAACTGTGGCTAAGTATTACTTTTTAAATGATAAAATGTAATAAAATCAGTACTGTTGTTATACAAAATCAACTATATAAAAAATGTATCAACAGCAACCAAATAAAAATATGACTTCCATAAGAAATCTGAATTTCATTTTATTACACACGCTTATTATTAAGACAATTCTAATCACTTAGTTTCACTCCTTGATTTGTGTCTTATCTCTGAACCTAGTTTGTGTTCAGTTTCTTCTTGTTCTCCTTTAGGTGTTTTAAATCATGATACGATCTCACTAACACTTGATAGTTCCAACATATGATAGTTCTTGTTCTCCTTTATGTCCATTATTTTTTACTATATTTTGTATTTTACCTTAAAAGTTATGTTCTAGAGGCTTTTCAAAAATCAAGCATTTATTTTTAAAAATTTAACAATGACATTATAAAAGGCTAGCATTCTGCATGTCATGTATGGATCTTATTAACTCTTTTAAGGTAGAACTATTTGTAAACAACTTTTCATCAAACCTATCTATTGAATCTAATTTAAGTACTCTTCCATGTCATCTTAAAAAACTGGTTGATCCACTTTAAAAGTTCAAAATTACTTTCAAATTACTTTTGCTTCTGCTAAAATTATTTTCTACTAGAAGTTTTTTATAACTTGTTCAAGTTCCTATCAGATTTATAGTGATTGAGTTGAAAGGTTGTAGTAATTTAAAAGTAATACGTAATTGTAAAACCATAGAAAGTTATCTGGAGCAATTGCTAGGTGCTATATTTTAGTAATCTGTTAATCAAAATAATTTATAACAAGTATTTTGCTGATGCATCTTCCTACAAAAAAGTTGTTTCTCAACTCAAACTCCAAACACTATGCGAAGATGTTTAGTATTACACATAAAATTTATTAAACTTAAATTATCAATTTATCACAGGTTCTTAATTTTTATTAGCTTTGCTAAACTTTTAGTTGGAATGAAGTGTTATTGTGTTATCATTTTATATATTTTTCAAATTGAGAACTAATCAATTTTAGATTTCTATTCCAACCTTTGCCCATTTATTTTGAGAATAAGAGATCTTAAACAATTGATATACTATTGTCCAGTAATAGTATTCCCCTTTTCAACATATATACTAAATAAATGACACCTATCATTTTGAAATCTTTTATTTTATAATAGATTACAAAAGAGTTTTCCAAAACTCTCTAAATTAAATTATTTCTAAAATAGAATCTAGAAATTTAATGATAAAAAAATTGTTTATATCCAAGAATTTTTTTTTTTAGTTATACTTTTAGTTTTTTAGTAATATCAAAAAAAATAATATTCAGAAATTTGAGTTTTGAAAAACTTCAACATATCCACAAAACTGGATTTTCCTTGAAAAAAAGACTTTTCTAGAAAAGTCAAAGATTTTTCTCGTGAACAGCAAGAAGAAATAATAAAAAATAATAAAATAAACAAATGATAAAAAAAAAAATAAAAAAATAAAATTCAGTTCAGTTCAATCAAAATTATATGCTGTGTGAGTAATTTTTCGGAAAATATTTTGAGAGAAAATTTTAAAAATGCATCTCATTTAGATTGCAGGAAGATTTTAGTTCACAGGAGGAATAGTAATCAAAAAGTGAGAGAATTAAAAATTAAATTTGATATCTCTTTAGAATTAATTGAGATTTAACCAGTAAATATGAAAAGTGTTGTAGTGTCAAATCACTACAAAATGCCTGCTGTAAAACAAAGGCTTGGCAACACTATAAACAGTTACAACAATGTTTTTGTTAACATATGATATTGATAAAGCCTCTTGGACAGCAGAATAAAATAGCACCATTTCTAATCATAATATGAAAAATTATCATCATCTAGAAATTTTAATGTATATTTCTGTAACTATTTCTTATTGCCATAAAGTGTAGATGTTAAAATATTTAAAAATGCATTATTAGTATATATATATATATATATATATATATATATATATATATATATATATATATATATATATATATATATATATATATATATATATATATATATATATATACTAATAAAAATATATATATATACAACACTCAGAGTATTGTATATATTTTAAATATATAAAAATATATATATATACCAAAATAAGTATGGTGAAATTACGTGAAGGATGGCGAAATAACAAGATTGCACCATTTTGTGTTTAGTTTAAGTTTTCATTCACTACATGACACATCTATTATAAACTGTTAATAATTTCTTATAGCTAAATAATTAAAAATAGTTAAAATAACATTAACTTTTCAGAAAGAAATGGGTCCGAAAAAGAATAAAAATGCGCATATAAGTGAGAGTGTCAGACGAGCATTATATCTGTTAACAAACCCAATTTCACAGCTACCAAATACACAGCTTCCAACCAATGGTAGTATTTTAAGATATTATCAATATCTAATTTCAAGTAAAAAGAAAAGATTTATCAAAACACAAATTAACATGGCCTGTAAGAAGCAAAAAGGAACAAGAAACTTGGTATGCAAAGGTAAGACATAACTATAAAACAAACATTTTTATTCCTAAATTTAAGAGGACTAAATGTTAAATAAATGAAATATTTAAAAAAATCTAATTTAAGTAGAGATTTTTGTGACCTTGAGGCGCAATCAAACTGCTTAATTAGACAAATAGTCAACAAACCAAAAGCAGGATTTGAAGCATACATGATTTCAGAATATTCAATTCTTGACAAACTTCAAGCTCTACACAAGAAGTATCAATTTTTGAAAAAATGCGTTACTCTGAAAGATATCAAAGATACTAGAGAAGATATTAAGAATGAATTCATTTCAACAATGGAACAGTTGTTTGACATAGGCAAAGATAACTTAAGATAAGTTTAAGATAAAATTAAGATAAAATTAAGTTTAAGATAAAATTAAGATAAGTTCGAAAATTTTATTACATTTTATAGGTGAAATTAACATTATAGTATAATACGTTCTGATTGTTTAATAATATGATCTCTTCTTAATTTTTTCCTTATTTCACTTGGGTTTGACAGCTTGGTCTACTCCTTTGACGAATTTTTTTGCATGTTTAAAAAAAATTTATTTAGTTATTTTAGCAAACATCAGTGCTTTAGAATTCTCTTACACCGTTAAGTTTTTCTAACACATAAAATTAAAGTTGTTTTTTTTCAGTTTTTTCTATTTTTTGTTTACTGTTAACACCTAACTTAAAAGTAAATTTATTTATTGTTAACACATAACTTAAGAGTGTTTGTTTAAAAATGTTTAATAACTCATTTATATTTAATAAATTAAACTAATGTTTAAAAACTCATTTTTTTAACAATTAATCAAAAGATCTTGGAAATAAAGATGTTAAAAATTGAAAAATATAATTATGGCATGTGAAAATATTTTTTCTTAAATTTAATTAAAATGTTTAACTATTTGCAAAAAGAAATAAATAAACAAAAGTATAAATTATCACATATTTTCATTATTATAAATTCATAAAGTATTAGTTTAAACATAATATGTATCAAATTTAATTGTGATAAAAAAAATCTGGCAATTCAAAAAATGCTTTAAAAAAGATATTTAAGTTTTTGTATTTTATATATATATATTTTTTATAAAAAATAATTTTTTTTTGTCAGGCAGCTTCATTTGAAAATAGATAGTGGTTGATGAAGCAGTATGAGTTTGATGACACTATCCAACTTTTGTGTGATATGCTTCAGTCATCGAATATGACTTTGACACATAATTCATCTTTTGCCATAGCAAGGTACATTAAAAAAAAAATTTTCATAACAAAAGTAGTGTAGAATTAAGTGAAAGAAGTTTTTAGAAAAAACAATAGTGCCCAATGATTTCTATTGGTAAAAATCAAAGTTAAAGAAAGCAACCCAGAGTGATATAGTTTTTGGGGAGATTATTTCTTAAGTTGCACAATATTTTTTCAGATTTTATAGTATGTTTAATTTGATACATGGTGGTTAAATTTACTGTTTCAAAGATTTAAACAGAACAGAAACATAAAGTAACTCACAGACAAGTGAACACCAGAGAGACCATGTCTCTGGTAGTACCGTGCTCAACTTGTTTCTCTGTGCAGTGGCCTTGTTGATCAAGGTTTGTTTTTTTGAGTTATAGAGTTAAGAGAGGGTTGTAACCACAACTAAAGTAGCCTCCTCAATAATAGTGGCTTTCACGGCCTTGGGGAGGTGAATTAATATATTATTATTATTATTTTAATATAGCTGCAGCTTTCAATGCTGTTCTCTGACCAGGTGACAAATTTAACCTATGGCTATTGTCGATATTTTTGCATTCTTTAACAGGTATTTTGGAAGCTTAAGTGTTACCATGTATTTCTTCTTTGCCAAACTTGTCAAACTCTTTTCTTTTACATGACATTAAAAAATCTTGCCTTCTGGTAAATTAACTGAATCGCTATCAACACTTTTAACTTCATTGTTGACCTGAAAATTCAACCACAGTGCATTAAACTTTTCCAATATTACCTTGGTTGCATATTAAATGTACATTATCACATTTTGGCATGCTGGTGGCATAGTTTTTGGCTATTTGTAGTGAGTCCTGTTTTACTGTAGTATGGAATAGGCGTAAGTCGCGGGGTAAAGCATAAGTGGCGATGACGTTTGTCTGACGGGATAAACTAGTTATAAATGCTGATCCTCATCGAAACATCAATAATAATAGACTCGACTCTGAGGAGATGTTTATTACTTAATCACTACACAAATTATGTTTACACATTGGCATTAATGTTTTTTTCTTCATTATTAAATGCCTTTCATTGTTGTTAGCATATTTTTTATTTTGTGATCGGTTTTTTATTTTATAAGTTTTTGTCTGGTGATGTATATCTTCATTCATATTGGTGTTTATAAAACAATTTTTTTTTTTTTTATCTTTTTTTTTTCTTTTTCTTTTTATTGTTATTATTGTTGTGGGTGTATAGCCTGTCTTATTTATTTTTAAATATTCCTTTATTAATCTTTATTTTTGTCTTGACAACTGTCAAAATATGTTTTGTCTAATAAATAATTCTCCTTTATTCTAATGTACTTTATTTCTTCCCTTAGGTGTTCACTGCTCGTGTGTGACCATTTTGGCGAATTTTATATGTCAAAGTTTTTAAATAAAATTTACCAATTGTTGAAAACAGAATTTGCTTGGTTTTCTTTTGATCCATTTTCTACCTCAATAAGATCTTCATAGTTCTCTTCATTTTATGCTTTACTTTTCTCATGTAGATCTTGTCTTCTACACACACACCTTTTTTGGAGCTTAAAGAGCACTGAGGAAATCAAGATCTTTATCCTTCATTTTTTTGGTACGAAATGTGTTGGTTTCTATTTCCGCTTGGCATCTTAGTGTGATATGAAAAATTACTGTTTTTAATCCTCACTAAAAATCTTCTCTTTTTATTTGTTTGATTTGCACCCTTTGCACCCATTGCACCCATGCAAAGATTCTGCAGTGTCTACTTGATCTGTATAAAAACTATAGTTTTCATATAAATCATTTTCATAAGAATCTTTGCTTTTGTCATGTCTTTATGTATTTCAATGTTTTAGTTTTTCTGGATATTCAAAAGATTGAATATCCAGAAAAACTAAAATTTGCAAAAAATTAAAAGAAATTATTAACATCAAACTCTCTACAACAATTAAATATAACATTGTCAAATGTTATGGTAACACTATCTCAGACAGTATGGTTGTTGCTAAAATTTTAAACAAATACTATGAAACAATACAACACTCAACCAAAAGTAAACTGATTTCTTCTAAAAGTATCTTCTCTGACTATTTAAAAAATCCTAATTTTTATTCTTTCTTTCTTAATCCAGTGACTGAAAATGAGGTGTCTGATTTAATAAAAAATAGTTTACAAAATGGTAAAAGTTTAGGACTAAATAGTATCCCCACACACTTTCTCAAACTTACTTCCTATGTTATCTGTAAGCCTCTTTTTACCATATTGAATAATTTATTTAATAAAGGTCTTTTTCCAGATGTTTTTAAGATAGCCAAAGTTATTCCTACCCATAAAATGGGTTCTCTAATGGAACAGAAATTATCGGACGTTTCTTTTCTATCTAACATTAGTAAAATATTTGAAAAAGCTATGTACAACAGACTTTATAGATTTCTTGACAAAAACCAATGTCTTTACAAACATCAGTATGGATTTCGTAACAAACACTCCACATGGATTTCGTAACAAACACTCCCCTTATTAAAACAACTGAAATTATTAGAAATGCTCTTGACAACAAACTTTTTTGCATGTGGAGTGTTTCTTGATATAGAGAAAGCCTTTGATTTTGTTGATCGCTTCATTCTCCTAAGTAAATTGGAACACTACAGTGTTGGAGGTAATACTCTCCGATGGTTTTCATCATATTTTTTTAATAAATCAGTAATTTTTCTCCATCAATGATGCCAAATCTTTTCTAATAAAATGCTCCAGGAGTGTACCCCAAGGTTCTGTATTAGGACCATTGCTTTTCCTTATTTTAATAAATAATCGTAATATATCCCTAAAATTTTCAACAACTTACCATTTTGCTGGCGACACCAACTTACTCATAACAAGTCTTAATACCAACAAAACTGAACTCATTATTTTCAAATCAAGCCAATCTAAAATGTATAAAAACCTAAACTTTAGACTAAGTCGACAAAAATATTTCCTGTAGTTTCATTAGAATATCTTGGAATCCAAGTTGACTCAGATCTATCTTTTTCCTCTCATCTTAAAGACTTAGCAGTAAAATTGTGTAGATCAAATGGGATGCTAGCCAAAATTTGCCACTATGTCAATTATGAAACTCTACTTAATATATACCATGCAATTTTTGAATCACATCTTAGATACGCTTGTCAGGTTTGGGGACAATGCAAGTCTAATGCTTTTAAGATTATGTAAAGATTTTGTAAGATTATTAAAAATAATATTCTTTCAACAGTATCATTCTAACTCTGACATCCTTTACTTTCTATCAAGTATACTCAAATCATGTGATCTTGTTTATCTATTAAATTGTCTGTCTGGAATCATAAACAAGTAAACCTCCCTCCGACATTCTCAAATTTTTTTACCACTAAAAAAAGTTCTTGTTATTATCTTCGATCTTTGAGTAACTTTAAATTATCCCAAAACACTGTTCTGTAAAATATAATGAAAATTCTATTACAAACCAATGCGTAAAATTGTGTTACAAACCAATGCGTAAAATTAAATTTGTAAATTATTATTAATATTATTATTGTTATTGCGATTGTTATTATTGTTATTATTGTTGTTGTTGTTATTATAATTACTAATATAATCATTATTATTGTCATCATTATATTTAATAGTATTATTGATATGAATATAATCCTCTTGGTTTAATTTACTTTATTATTATTATATGATTGTTATTATTATTTAATTGGTGTTTTCCTTAGATTAATACTCGTACTATTAGTAAACAACTATGTAATTTAAACTTTTATTTCTGAATAAATGTTGTTATTGTTATTGTAAAAACAAAATTAAAAAGTAAATAAGGCAAAACAAATTCTGGATTTTTTGCAGATATATTTTATTTAAACAATTTTTTGGGTTTTTAAAATATGACTAGAATGATCTAAGTTTGTTGAATGATAATAAAATTATAAAACTGACGATGATGGTAATTTTAATTTTTTTATATCTTTTATATTTATTTGTTTTTTGTATTTTTTATAATTATATTTTAGTCTCTTACTTTTTAGGAAATCTATAAAACATATAACTTAAACTCAGAAATTTTAGACTAATTGGCCAGTATTTTATTGAGTATAGCAGATCTTGCTAAACCCCCTCCACCTTTCAAAGTCAAAGTAAATGTAAAAAATTTAAAATTATAGCATTTTAAAATTTTTTTCAAGTTTTTTATTCCCATTTTGCTTCTGTCACATTTGTACAGTGTTTTTTTTTTTTGTGTGTGTGGTAGAAACATAAAAGTAAAAGCATGTTTTATAACTTTATAATATTTTTATTTTATAAAATATTAGATGGTGTTGAAATCTTCAAGTTGCATGGCTCAAGTGTTATTGTGGATGGATATTTTGCAAGTACTCATTTGCAATGTTTTACTCAATTGAAGGTGCAAAATATTCTTTAAATGAAGTAGTGTTTAATGACACTCCAGAATCAGGTATAAAAGTTTAATATTATTTACATTCTTTAATGTTTTTTGTATTATTTATTATTTCTTGTTGTTTAAAAAAATCACATTAACTTGTAAGTTAGTTACAATTTACACCAAAGACACAAATGAAAAAAATTTTATTAGTTTTAAAAAATATAATAAAACATACAATAATTGTATAGCAAAGTCATTATTTCATTTATAGCAAGCACAGCTAAGTCATTATGTAAAATTTTTTGTTGTTTTTTGGCTTTTTTTATTTCATAATACTTCTGCTTCTTCTGTAAAATACACTACACCTAAATATTAGAAATGTCAGATAATAGTTTGTGAGGGGATACTCAAATATTCACTATAATACTTCGGGTGCACTTACAAAACAATAAAGAAGTATTTAATTCATTATTTATTTATCAAAATAGAGTAGAAATGCAAATGAGTTTTTGTTTTTTTTATTAAAGCAAAATATGAAACACATTTTATGTTTTGACCAAATCACAACATTTATTTGTTTTATTCATTTTAATTAAATTTTTTTAAATTTAATTACCATTAATGTTGTTTGCAATTTAAACTAAAATAGATCATAACAATAAACGTATATTAGGGCTGCATGGGATTTTATCTCCAACTCCAGCCAATTTTAGAAAATCGGGCTCCAGCAAAAAATTAGGAAATCCAGCAATGTTTGAGCCGGATTACTACTTCTGGTCAGGCATTTATTACATCTTTTTTTGCCCGTGCTTACATAAATACTCATCACTTCATTTATACAAATCAATGTAATTCTATATTCTATGAACTCCATGTTTGTAATGTATTCACATTTATTTTACAGTTTATTTAGCTAAGCCTAATTGCAAACAACAACTCAACAAAAAATTCTGAAGAGAAGACACAATATTCTGAAGTGAAGATACGCAAAAGAATCTGAAGTGAAGACACAAATGTTTTTAAATATACATTTAATAAAGTTACAGTGCAGAGGGTAGCGATGCAAGATGGAAGTCCATCTCAGCATGCTGAGCAGCAGATTGACAAAATTGAATAAATTCTAGCAAAACAAGTCCAGCTGGATGATTCTTCTATATCATCACTTGGTATTGAGAATGGTCAATATTGTTGACCACTATCAATATCAAGTAGAAATATACAGGATTTCGGCTCCTGTAATTTTTCGAAATCTGCCTCCGGATTTGTTAGTAGAAATTTGGCAAATACAGCCCCGGCCAGATTTGGAAAAGTTAAATCCGGTACAGCCCAAGTATATGTATATATAAGTATAAATATATATATAGAAATATGATACAAAGGTATAATGAAACAAAGCAGCAAGTAGTTAATTTTTTGAAGTAGTTAATTTTTTCATGAAGAAGTTAATTTTTTTTTATAACAATTCTTTTAATTGTAAAAACCTTTCATGTTCAACAATTGAACAGTTTTATTCCAAAAAGTACAGTTACCTCAATAATGTTTGGTTATCTCATTTCATCCCATACTGTTAAACAGTTAAAATCTCTCCAGAGCAAAGCAAAATTTTGACATTGTGCAGTTGTCTATGAATTGATGTCTTCTACTGATGTTCTTTCTCAATTAGATAAAAAACATTTTTTTTATTTAAACAAAAGTTTGTTGTAAAATAAATTTGCTCTAGCAGTCAAGCCTCATTGCTGTTGTATCTTTTTTACAAATTGTCCAGCAATTAATCTTGTGTGACAATTTTCAAAATTGTTTTTTTATTAGTTTTTATTATATTTATTATTTAAATTATTTAATTACAGTAATTCTGTTTAAATTTATTAAAACTTTATTTTATTAAAAAATATTACAAATTATGAATAAAAAATTACATTTTTTTCTTAAAACTGTAATTGTAACCTTCGTGTTTGAAAAAAATATTTATATTATTTTTGAACAACTTTAAATTTTTTTTTCATCTTCCTGATTGATATGATTTACAAATTTCAAGTTTTTTTCTTATTTCTTACTCTTCAACTTTTTTCTCTACTCTTGATTTAAAGTATAATTGCAAGAAATTGATGTTGTCTGTTGCTCACGGCTGTTTCACTCAGTATTATTTTAAAAATTGCATTAACTTATAAGTTAGTTACAATTTACACCAAAGACGAAATGCTTATTTTTTTCACGAAATGTTTCACTCAATATAAAAATGAGCCTGGCGTCACAAGTTTATCAAAAAAACATTTCTGCATAAAAAGTATAAAAAGTTAACTTTAAAATAAAAAAATATTTTTTTCTATGAACGATTTTTAAATAACAAAAATATAAAAGATCTATCTTTTCTTGTTAAATAAATAATTACATTAAACGGAATAAAAATAAATAATGTTAAAATATTGCCAATGATTTGGTGATCACTTTTCTGTTTTTTGCGATATTTACGAAAAATCTGGCTTGGGACAACTAAATGGTCTGACAGCTGCGTTGAAATTTGGAAAACTTATCAACCAATGTCTGTTCTATCTGATTTTTGGTGCCCTTTGCTTATTTTTTTGAAGAAAAGTTAGTTTTTAACGCATTTCTATTTTTAATTTAATCACTATTAAATCAAAATCGTAAATTTATTGCATAGAGCACCAAATTATTGAAATTGAAATCCTTTATACATATAATTATCAAAAAATTATTTTCTGTATCTCTAGTTATGTCAGACCATGTCCATGTCTAGGTCTTCAAACTTGGCTGGTTTATAACATTTTTTCTATTTTTATGCGTAAATTTTTATTTACATTTAAAAACAATCATGTGACCTTATATATTTTACAAGTTTAAAAATTAGGTTCAAATAAATTTCTTTTTAAGTTAAAATGGTCTTACAATGTGTATATTTAATATTAAATATCTAAAATATACTTTTTCAATTTTTTTTTTGATAAACAACAAATTACTAAAATTTAGTAATTTGTTGTTTATCAAAAAATTACTATTGTCAAGTGACAACAAATTACTAAAATTTAGTCAAGCTTACCATTTAACGTTTTATCTAAAAATGAAAAAAAAATTTAATCAATCATTTAATATCATATGGTAAAACGTTTTATTGGTGTTTATATTCTTTTTACAGAACATAACTATCTTTAATATTTTAAAAGTTAAAAAAGTTTTAGTAACACCTACTAAGTGATTATTTAGGGAAAAAAAAAAAGCCATATAGCTCACTTTAAAATAGCCTGTGCTGAGGTTCATTGTTCTCAAATTATTAAAAATAACAAAAAAAAAATTGTTATTCTAAAAACTTTTAAAGAATCTTTAATATAATCCTAAAAAAGAAAAGTTAGCCCTCACACATGGGTCAGATCTTATTACCTCTTTCTAAGCATCCATCAATAGACTTTTTGAACTTAAACTAGCATATACTTATTTTTAATCTTTTAAAACTTGTAAATAATAGTTACTTTTTTTTTTATCTATTTTTTGTTGTTGAGAATTTTATGTTTTTTAGATGTCACTCATATAGTTACAAACTAGTCAATAGATGTTTTTTAGATGTCACTCCATTGGCAAACTAGTCAATCAAGTGACATCTAAAAAACATAAAATTCATGATAAAAAGAAAGAAAAAAAAAATAGATAAAAGAAATATATAAAAAAAATATATATAAATAAAAGAGAAAAAAAGATGATTGTTAAACAAATAATTTTAATTTGTGTAATAGTTATAGTAATAATACAAAATAATAACAATAATAATAAAGTATCAATAATTTTAAAAATAATACAATATAAGTTGCATGTACTTATCGTAGATAATAGTTAAATATAATGATAATGTAAAATGTAGCAATAAAAACACAATAAATATAATATAGACAAATAATAAATAAAGCAAAAATCAAACCACTCATTTGTTAAAGAAATTATATATCAAAGACAACTACAATACAGAGAGAATTTATAAAGAAATAAACACTAACAATATATTTTTAAATTGTTGTTTTAAGGAAAACTTACCATATTTATATATGGTAAGTTATGAGCGCTCTACTACTACACCACTACCGCTTATTTATTTTAATAAAAAAATTTAAAAAAGAGTTTGGTAGTTTTTTTGGAAAAAGTTAAACACAAAAAGTTAACTGTAAAACTTTACAGGATCATGAAGTTTTAAGATTTTTAGTTCAGAAAATTTTTTTAGGATATCAGATCTCATTGGCAAAAATGTCATTCTAATAGATGCACGTTGTAAACTAGCAATGCTATTAAGTAAAAAGTTACTTTTTTGACTCCAAACAATACAATAATAGCAAAGATGAGAAAAGAATAAGGAAAAATAAATTCTTTTAAAAGTTTGGATTGGAACATAGTAACAAATTAGAGAAAGCATACTGTTAGCTCATGTAAGTTTTTTTTTAAGATGATATAGTTAATTATACCAAGGCTTTCATCAAGATATACTCCAAGATACTTTATATATTTTGATGAAAAAGTTTTTTCTGTAATGTTAATTTAAATATTATCAATAGTTTTTTGAGGGGAATGAAAACAAATGTGTTCAGTTTTATTGACATTCAAGAAATTGTGATTACTATTTAACCAGTTACATAAGCAATGAAGATCTTGATTAACTTTTTAAAATAGTTCAGAAAGTACTGGAGAGATATCATTTGCAAGAGCATTAAAGATAGGTATTGGAATGCTGTTAGGTCCCGAAGCCTTGCTGTCATTAAAAAAATGAATAATAGATGCTTCATTTTTGTTTTGGTTTTGGTTTGATGAATATTGATTTAAGACTGTGGTTTTTCAGATATTTATTGAAGTCAGTATTGGATGAGTGAATCTTTTTCTGTAATTCTTTTTGAATTAAAACAAAGAATGAATTAAAAGATTCCGAAAATTTAATGGGGTTGTATATCATGGAGTTGTTAGAGATAAGCAGGAAGGATATGAGTTATATATAGGATATGAAGGATAGGAACTCTCAAATTAATGTTTAAAAGACTTATACCATCCCATGTAGATTTTAAATTTTTGGCATGATCAGAGAAAAACTTAGAGTAATGGTTCTTTTTACTTTGACGGTTGAGATTAACAAATAAGTTTCTATATGTTTTATAAGATTTTTCTTGATTGAGTTTGTTATTAGAATTCTTTGTTTTAAGAAATTTGTTAAATATTTTATTTTGTATTTTAATTAAAGTCAAGATTTTTTTTGTTATCCAAGGTTTGAGACCCCTTGAGAAGCAGCGATTGCTGACTATTTTTAATGATGCGTGTTTATCTAAAAGAAAATTGAAACTTGTGAAAAACTCATCAAATGATTTGTTAGTCCTTCGTTAACATTGATTACATTAGTCCAGCTAATTTTTGAGAAATCACTGCATAACAACTTTTTTTAAATTCCGAAAGATGCAGCTTATATGAGAATTAAATTTGGTTCTATAAAATGGATGTATTAAAAAATGGGGTAAATGATCTGATACCATAGAAGTAAAATTACCTGCAAAAATATTTGTAGAAGTTGCATTAAAAAATATGTTATCAATTAGAGTTTTTGAGTGATTCGTGATTTTTGTTAGCAATGAAAAAAAGAGAAGAAAGTTATTTAAAGCAATGGTTTATAAAAATTCAGAAACAAATTAGAAAAAACTGTCTGATAACAAGCATTATTATATTTAACAACACCTTATTAGAAAAAACTGTCAAATAAAATAAATTCGTCTTATTTATCAAAGACTTGAATAAATCTATTATGCTGGTTTTCTCAATTATCTTTCTATATCTAGGATCATGAAAAAAATGAAACATGAAGAAAATCTCAATAAATAAATGAAAAAAAAAATTGAAATGAATGAGTTTGTTGTTTATCACACACTTATTTATTTCAAATTTTAAATAACAATTTATTTCAAGTTTTTATAAAGCAACTTAAATACTGTGGTTAAAAAGGAGTGATTCAATAATTTTGAAGTTTTTCTGAGATGCATCTTATGAAAATAGTTTATTGAGAAAACCAGCATCAAAAGCCTTTATCAAGATATATTATAAATATCATAAGAAAAATATCAAGATTTCAATCAACCATATCAAGAGAGCAACCATAAAGCAACAGCCTTGCCTCACTTTATCATTATCTTGCTTCACTTCCTTTTACCTAATCTTTTTATCTTTTTATTACTATGGTTACAATGAGTCAGCAGTAAAACAAAAAAATTAAAACTATTTATTTATTTCTCAATAACGATAACAAATAATTAGTGAATAAATAACTAATATTCAGGTTTAAATTTAATTTAGAAATTGATCTCAAGATGAAATTTTAGAAGGGTTTTACTTATAACAGTTTAATAACTAATAATAACAGTAACTAGGCAACAGTTGCGATAGTGGTGTAGTGGTAGAGCTCTTGCTTCATAAACGAGTGGTTCCGAGTTCGAACCCCACCACGTCCCAGGTAGTACCGCGTTCAACTCGTTTCTCCGCGCAGCGGCCTTGTTCGTCAAGGTTCGTGTTTCGGAGTTATAGAGTTGAGAGAGGGTTATAGCCACAAATAAGTAGCCTCCTCGTCTGTAGTGGCCTTCTCGGCCTTGAGGAGGTGAATTAAAATAAAAAATAAAAAAATAAAAAGTTAGAGGAGACAGAGCTATCACCAACAAACATCTCAAACAACACCTCTAACTTCCAACAAGGCTGCAAGCAACCACTAATAAATTGGGAGTGACAAGAAAAAAAATATAGAGTTATATAGCAAGTAAAATAAAATATAAAGTGTTGACAGAAGGTTTTAAAAGTTGAAACTGAAATCTTACTTGAAACTGAAAAAATAATAAAGTTATATAGCAAGCAGGTTGACAGAAGACTTGAAAAGTTGAAGGTTGTATGCGTCAGAAAACATGAAGATGGGAGAGAGTTAAAGTGCAGAAAAAAACAAGACAAATAAAAGTTTTTAGAGCATGCAGGGGCTGATACAGTAAAAAGATAAGGCTTTGCTGAATTACGAGTCAAACAAGAACAAGTTTTAGTTGATGGAGCTTGAGATGATATCTCCTAGTATTTGTAAGAAAGAGATGCAACTTTATGTTCATGGAAAAAAGGCTCAAGCTTAGCATTTTCAACTTCATTAACAACGCAGTTTATGAAGTTGAAAATGAGAAATTTGTGAACTTAGTAGAGTTTTGTTGGAAATTAAATGAAATTTAAAATTCACAAGCCACTACAAACAATTTGTTACAGAACTGAGATATGATTTAAGATCAATTGCCTGTTCTTAGCCATTGAAAAGAGAAGACTTTTTGTCAAGGCTGGAGTATAAAGTGAAATCATCACCAAATAGAGCCACCCTTAGATTTAAGGTTATGAGGTTGACAATGAAGATAGGATAAAAACAAAAGCAAGGATTGAACTTTTAGCTACCCTTAAAGTTACTGGAAATGAAGAAGAAAAAATTATTTGATAATTTCAAAATCTTTTCCAGATACACCACATGAAGCAAGCAGAACTTTATAACACCACACCAAACTTTATTGAAAGCTTTAGATATATCCAAAAATCGATTGTCTGACAGTAAGTTATTTGACTCAAGATGGGATTAGAATGATCAATTACTCAAAGACATTGCTAACAACAGATAGAAGACTGATTGGACAATAGTTAGAGAGCTCATGATTTTTTCCAGAAATTTTTAAAAATTTATATGCCACCGAGCGATTGGTTAAAAATCTTGCTTTTAACCCTATTATTGAAGATCACGTAGATTAATTTCTAGTTTTTAACAAAATTTGTAAAGAATTTTTTAAAAATATATACAATCAGGGTTGCTACTGGTCATGGAAATCATGGAAATGTTACGTAATTTCATTTTAGGTCTTGGAACTTTTTAGAATAATATTTTTCTTCTAATGATATTTTTACAATAATTGTAAAAAAGAATTCACATTTTGACAAAAAGTCTTCTTTTTTGGATTGGTTAGAACAGGCAGCCAGACTTTAATCTGTTCTTCCATCTGTAACAGCTTGAGGCTTGCAATTTCTTTTTGATTTTAACTTCAAAAATTTCCTGGGGAGAAAACAAATAAAAAAATTGCATTCACAAAGTTTGCTATAAATAACTTATTGGTAGGTGTAGTGTTATAGACAGGCAACAGTTTCCTATTACCACTTCAAATACTGTACTTTAAAGGGAAAGTTAGTGAGGGCAATAAAAGAGTTTTTTGTCCTCATCCTTAAGTGTTTTTTTTTTACAAAGTTAATAAAACTGAATTATAGAACCATAAAACTGAATTATAGAAAAGTGAATTATAGAACTGTATTTTCATTAGGAAATAATAGAATGAGTTGTCATAAAAACAGAGAATTAAGCAAAACCCATGCATTGAGTCAAGGAGATACATCATTCAACATATTGAACCGGAAACAATTTATAATAAATACATCTGCCTAAAAGATAAAGAAGGGGTGCAAGAAGAAGGCTTGTTAACAGATAGAATCTGTTTACCCTTTAAACTTAAACCACTTTACCACTTGTTAGAACAACCCTTGCAATGCACTTTTATAAAGTGTAATATATGATAAAATTTGATGACATAATTAAAGAAATTATTTTTTTCTTTAGTTTGACTAATATAACAATCATCCATATGGCCAGTTGTTATATTTTTTGCATTAGATATTTTTATTGCAACTTTTGCTTTCTCTTTCTTATCTATTTGGATGTTTCAAAGTCTGCTATTTTCAAAATGGCCCTTGCTTTGTTTTATAATCTTTTCCTGAAACTGGAACTTAAATTTAGGGAAGAGTTTAATTAAATTTAAGAGAAACTTTTTCAATTATTAACAAGCATAAAACTAAAATATAATAACCTTTTGAGATATTGAGATATTCCAACAATTTTTTCAGTTTAGTATAATAATAAATTAACAATTAATAAAATAACTGTTTAATTTAAAGTATTTTAACTTTTTGCTTGTTATTTGTAACTGTTTGTTAATTATTCTAATATTAGTTTTATGCTAAAAAATAAAAAAAAATGTCCTCAGCTTACATAAAGTAACTTGATTAGATATATAAGCAGCCATTTTGTTTAGATACGTGCTCTAACTAGTGAAGGAAAAGGATTAGCAGCTTATTTGACAGGAACAACAAATACTCTTGGTATTTTCTGTTATCATTATTTTATACATTACACAAAACACAATAAGCATAATTTAATATTTTGAAAATGCATTTTTACATCTAGAAAGCAGGATATAGGCACTAGACATGGTATAGGGCACAGCCACAGACATGGTATGGGTACTCATCATCATAATAATTATCATGTTTTAAATTTTTAATATTATATATATTATATATGGTTTATTTTAAATAGTAATAAAATATAAGTTTACTACTATTTAAGACAAACACAAAATATTATTTAAAGTATAAAATATTATTTAAGTTTGAAAAATACACTGTGTTAGGATTATAAAAATATTTATAAGATAATATTGTATAAGTTTTTATTATTAGATTTTTTTGCACCCTCACCTCCTCAATTACATGTTCATGGTAAAACAGAGATTTTTATTGAGTGGGATCCTCCTAAAAATCTTCTTGGCAGATTAAATTATTATGAACTTAGAATGGATAACATGGTTTGTTGTTTTTTTATGTTTTTCTACTTTAATTTGTTTTTAGTTTGAAATCTAACAAGAAACTCTCTGATTCTTAGTAACAGTAGTTGTGACATGAATTATAATTTTCTGATAGAAAAAGTAATTTTTCATTTAACACGGAAGGTGTATACACAGAGGCTATTAAAGTTTTTTTGCTAATCATGTGAGAAATTTTATTGTTACTATAGTCTTTGCTTATGCATGTTTCTTTATGATTTTTGCCATCATTAACATTCTTTCTTATTGTTCTTGTTTTTTTATTTTGCTCGCAACAAAAAGCCATATTAAGATTTGAAGTTAACTGTGAAACCAAAAGTAGTAAAGAGAGTTAAAGAAAAGAAAACTGTTGATAGAAAACTGTAAATTAAAACCTATTGATAGAAGATGTAAATTAAAAACTGCTGATAGAAGACTGTTAATTAAAAACTACTGATAGAAGGCTGTAACTTAAAAACTGTTGATAGAAGGGTGTAAATTAAAAATTGTTGATAGAAGGCTGTAAATTAAAAACTGTTGATAGAAGGCTGTAAATTAAAAACTATTGATAAAAGTGTGTAAATTAAAAAACTGTTGATAGAAGACTGTTAATTAAAAACTGTTGATAGAAGGGTGTAAATTAAAAACTGCTGATAGAAGTCTGTAAATTATATGAGTCAGGAAAGCATGAAGAGATGTGTGATTTTCAAAGTTTGTGATAAAAACTATTTAAAAGTTTTTTAAAACAGAAAAGATTACAAAACAAGATTAAATTGAACAATTGAATCAGGGTGCAGAAGCAGAGAATTGAATCAGGAATAAGAAACTAGTAAAAAAGGATTCATTTTATTTATGGTTTCAATAAAAGGTCAGTAGTAAACAATAATCCAAAGAGACTTATTTTAGAGGTCTCAATAAGAGTGTTGCGCTAAAAGAATATAATTAATATTACAATAATTATTAACAGTAAAAAAACAAGTTCAAAGAGTCTTGTTTCCCAGCGTGCTGGAAAGTGGCATCTGTTATCCTTATTTCAATAAGGGTTTTTATCTTCTCATTCTATAGCTGATTTGCTAACGGTAATAACCAATAGGTTTTATTGTGCATTAGATGTAAAGAAGTTAAGACCATCATTCTTGACATTTTACAGCTGATTGCTAACAGTAATAGCCCAATAATAAGGTTTTACAGCCGATTGCTAACAGTAATAACCCAATAATAAGGTTTTTTTGTGCATTAGATAAAGCTTTTGATAAAGTTTGGCATGCTGATCTTCTCAATAACCTTTTTTCTTACAATGTATCAGGTAACATCTTTAAGATTTTTTAATCTTTTCATTCCATTCGTAGTTTAGAAATAGTCCTCGATAGACAGCACTCTTATTCATATGCCCTTTCTTTTTAGACAAGGTGCAAAAATAAATTGTAAACATAGTTGGAACTGCTCTTGCAGCTAACCTCCAACCGTTATCACATTGTCGTAATGTTGCTTCTCTTTCTCTTTTTTACAAATATTATAATGGGCACTGCTCTAAAGAGCTAGCAATTCTTGCGCCTTCTATTAAAATTCATTCTTGTGTTACATTTAGTTAAGTCTCATCCTTTTTCTGTGACTGTTTCTAAGTGCTATAAAATCTCTTATTCATCTAGTTTTTTTCCTCAAACATCAGTTTTTTGGAATTCGCTTTCTTCATCTTGCTTTCCTGATTTATACATTTTGCAATCTTTTAAGTTGTCTGTCAATCATTATCTTGCTCTACAAACTTCATAATTTCTCTTCCAGTAACTTCCAATTCTTATAGTGGTTGTTTGCAGCCTTGTTGGAAATAAAGATGTTAAAAAAAAATTTTTTTTTTGAACTCTTAGTATACTTAGTATACTTGAAGCCCTTTTTCTTATCCTTATTAAAAACATTCTTAAGCTTAGATTAGTTTGTTTTTTCTAAAGTCTAATATAATACCATATTTCTGCTATTGCACTCTTTACTGATTGAAGGAAATCCAAAAGCATAGGATGTTATTTTTTTCTGTATTTATGTTCTTAAAACTTTTTAGATTTACTATTTTTTGGAAAATCATTATGTGTTTTGTTTCATATGTCCTCTTTTATTGAATGTTGATCTTTTTTAGCAAATGTTTTTCCTCCTCATATCATACTTTTTTGTTTATTATTTGTTTAAATATATACTTATTTATTTGATTTATGCTTTAGAATTAAATTTATATATAAATAAATAATATAGTTTCAAAACAATTACAGAACTACAACTATAAATTTACACAGTTAAACATTCATTTCCAGGTAATATATAGAGGAATTGACCGCTGTTTTACTGCGCAAGCTCTTCAGCCAACTAAAGTTTATAGCTTTACAGTAACTACATTTAGTTATATTTGAAATTTGTTTTTAGTTTTAAAATGTTATTCTGAAGGGAAAATATTAAATTTCAGGTTTCAGCTTGGATGAGTGAGGGTAGATGCGAAAGTTTACCCACGTCGAATCAGCAAGCAATGTAAGTTGTTTTAATATATCCTAATATTAATAATAATATATAGCTAAAAAAGTATAATTTTTTTCAGTTTTAAAATCAGATTTGAAGTCTCTGACTGTTCCATTACGTGCTTTCGTTTAGCATGCCTTCACTTGATTACCTTTTCTACCCACTTTTTGGTGTTCTTTATAGTCAAATTAAACAAGTTTTTTTATTCTTTATTTATTTGCCAATGTTGTTGTTATTGATGACTTTTATATTTATCAAACTCATTGGCTTGGCTCTAGACTTTGCTGGTCTTAAAACTAAAAATAAATTTTATTTAAACCTCTTACCGAGAAGAAAGTACAAACAACTACAAACTGGAATGTATTTAAAAATTGTTTAAATACCTAAAAGTACCATCTACAGCAAGGATGGCCTTAATGACAAAGAGCAAAAAAATTAATCACAAAATAAAAAATCTGTGTAAAAAGTAAATGGTTACTACAGATGTAGTCTTTATTGTTTATTTTTTCAATATTTTTCAATTCAAACAAAAACATCTTTTCAATTATCTAAGTATAATAACATCTGTGCAACTACACCTGGAAGTTTTACAGATGTAGTTACATCTTTTCAATTATGTTAAGAAAATCCACATATGTACAGCTACATCTGTAAATTCTGAAGACATAGTTACATTTTTTAAATTATATTAAAAATAGCTACATGATTTTATAGAATTTTTGAATTATAATGTGTTATATTAATCAGATGTAGTTACATATATGATTTTTTTTTTTCACATGTAGTTACATTTGGAAAAAATTATTAAATAATAATGCATTATTTTAACCAGATTTAGTTTCATATAAGTTTTTTTTCAGATGTAATTATATCTGTAAGAAATTCTTCCAGTTGTTATTGGCCCTTGTGAAAAATTACCAGATGTATTTACTTCTATCTAAAAATGTTGATTTTCCAGAAGATATTGGAAAGATGTTGTAAGAGTAAAAAAAAAAACACAGATGATCTTGGACGAAATTGCACAGATGATCTTGGACTAGTCCACAGATGTTTTTGGACAGATGTAGTAATCTTTTACCCAAATTTCCAGAATGCTTTCAGGAGAAATAGATGCCAGAGAGCTTATGATCATGTCTGTCACCAATAGCTTACCAGTTTATTCTTTAATCTTGTGTGATTTTTAATTTTTATGATCAGGGTTGGGATCAAATATGTATTTTTTATTTGAAGTTGTATTTACATTTGGTAGTTATAAGGTAAATTGGCGTATTTGTATTCGTGTTGCATTTGATTTAAAAATTTCTTAATAATTTTTATTTGCATTTTATTGAAATGTATTTGTCACAGTGTTTTTCCCCATAAAATCCCACTGTAAACAAGGTTAACTGGTGTTTATTTGGGAAAAACTAAAATATATGTTTGTTTTTTCTCTTCTTTTTTAACACTAAAGTAAGCTAAAATTTAGTTTGTGAAGGATAATTTTTAAACTTTTAAATTTAAATTGATGTTTATAAAAGACTTGTTTTCATTCTTCTATTTAGCATACCATTTTATGAATATTGTATTAAAACAAATCTATGTATTTTTTTATACCTAACTTACAAATATTTGTATTTTGAAAATGCCAATTACATATATTTGTACTTGAATTAGTATTTGGAAATCTGAAATTAAAGTATTTGTTTTTGTGTTTGACCCTGTCTATGATTATTAATTTGGTGTTTAATTGCTGAGATATTCATTCTGATATAATGAATGGTTGATTAAAAGTTTTATTATTTTAAATTTTGAAATCTGCGAAGTCATTGTCAAATAAGTGTAAAAGTCGATATGGCGGCTTTTTCATAACTCTATTCAACTTCTACCTCTAAAAAGTTATTTTTCGTTGTTGTTGTTGTTGTTGTTATGCGTGTTATGTCGTTGTGCGTCTTGTATCAATAAAAAATAATGCATTGCAATGCTAACTTTATTGGTTTCTTTATCTAGTTCTAACCAGATTTAGATTTTCTATCTAACGGTTAAATTTCTTTATCTACTCTTAACTCGGTTTAAATTCTTGATTTACTATTAAGCCAGTTTTGATTTTTTATCTACTTTTTGTTCGGTTTAAGTTTTTTATCTACTTCTAACCCAGTTTGTTCTACTGGAGATTCCTGGTATTGAAGTGGTTTGATGTGTTATTTGAATATTCGATAATCAAATTATTTGAATAAACATTTTGTGAAAAGTTCAATTAAAATATTAAAGATAATCTGATAACATTTTTTAATTTTGTTGATTTTTGAGTCGTGCACTTTTTTTGCAAACGAGTTTTTGTGGCATAAACATTAGAAATAAAGTTTTATGATGGCTTCCATCGAACATTTTTATGTGATCATTTTTATTATTGTTATTAGAAAAGTTCGGAAATAAGATAAAAATTATAATTTTAACTTTTTTTTTTTTATTGTAGCTACATCATCGTCTATTTTAAAAAGAAGAATCTCTATCAAAGAGTAATTTGAATCGCGATCCAACGAATTGTTAGTATGCGACTATATGCAACTTGTAAAGTTAAAAAATTTTAAGTAAAAATAAAAATGACAAAAGTGTAATTGTTAAATATATGTAAATAATATTTACAATTATTTATATAAAGTTTATGTTTTACAAAAGTTTTTTTTCGTAAGATGGTATATTGCAACTTTAAAATGTTTTAAGGATGGTGATGAAATTCCAGCAAAAAAAAAAAGAGAGAAAAAAGGAGGTTCGTTCCCAAAAATTCATAAAACTTATTCCTTATAGACGCTATCCAGCTAAATTAGGAAGATCAGTTGAAAATAGTTGAAAAACAATTCCAAATTCATCAGAAATTTGATTAAAACAAATTGGATGAAAGCTAATTAAAAAACAGTTATCTCAGGGCCGACAACATTGGTTTCTTCATATCAGAGCCAACAATATGGGTTTCATCTATGTATCTAGCGTTTTCTTTAATAAAAAAAGGAGGGGGAGGCGGTGTCGTCGGCTCAGCAGAGAGCCGACGTCGGTTATCTGCTGGTCTGACAATCAGAAATAAGCAAAAGGGTATTAAGAGACAAAAAATGATAAATAAAACGGCACCTCCAACAACTTTTTCCAATGAACAGTTAATCCTGCTTAGGCGCCCTGTTAACAGACAAAAATGATTGAGTTTATAGAGTTAGTTTGAAAGAGGTCCCGCCTAATATATGGGCTTTTCCAAAGTGCATCAGGGGTTAATTTTTTATGGTACATTTTTCAAGGACAAAAAACTCGCACTAAATTTTTACTTGTATCATACTTTATTGATAGAGAAATTAAAATTAACTAAGACTTCTGTTTTTATGACAAATGTAAAATCTCATTCTAATAGAATATTTAGCTTCCATTTACTTTCCAGCAGGATTTAGCCTCCAAAAATTCAAAAGTTCAAAAGGAAAATTTCTCGTGTTTCATTCCTGTGTCAGAATGGCTCGCCAACAGTCCAGATTTGACCCCTTATGTTTTCTTTGCATGAGGTTATTCGTGTTGGAAAAACTAAAAAATGTAAAATGCAATAAATTAAACGATTCTGAGGATTTACTAGGCAAAATGTGGGGTGAAATTCTTGACGGTATTGTCTATTGTCATCTATGACAATATAATACCGTCAAGAATTTCATCCCACATATGTGTATTAAAGAAAAATTTGAAATAAATTAATTTTTTATTTTAAATATTAGTGTAAGTTTCAGAAAAATTCTTAAATCAGAAAAGTGAAAATCCCCTTTCCTAATTAAGATCTCAAATCTGAAGAATTGTTATTTAGCAAACACAAAAACTATTAGATATTTGTAAATCCCCTCTCTGTAATATACTTTAATAAAAGTCTATTCTATTAGGTAGATTTAAAAGGTACTGTTATTTAGTCACTTAGATAGCTTAAGCATTTTGTTCCAAATGCATTTTTTTAATTTAAAATCGACAATCCATTATGTTATTGTTTGCACAGCATTCATAGGTATTTATAGTTATTCTGAAAATAATATTATAGAATAAAAACATTATACACTGTCAAGTGCTATTTTCTGTTGTTGTATTTATAGTAGAGTCTGTTCCTGTTTGTTTATTTATAGTAGAGACTGTCATCAGACGTAAATATATTTATAAAAAAAACAATACAAAAAATCTGTGAATTCCTTTAAACTATAGCACGATTATAACCAAAAACTATTTTCTTTTTTTATTAGAAAAACTTCTCATTTTATCAGATAAAATAAAAACCAGAAACGTTTGATTTATCATATACTGTGCTTTAACACACGATAAACGATTTTATTTGTAACTTAGTCATGAAATAAATCTGAAGAATTGTTTCACATAAAACTAATTAATACTCAAACTTTAGAGAGAAATCTCTTGCACAATTCCATGTTAAACAAACATTTTTTGTTTATTAAATGAAATTGCGCATAACAAGAGGAAAAAAAAACTTTACATTACATAACAGTGATTAGAGATATCTTTTAATTAGGATTTTTAGGATGTCCTACTTCTTTTCATTCTATGATTTCTTATTTTATGGTTTAACACTATAAAATTTTTGAAAATTTTTATAATACCATTATAATTAAAAAAATATTTTTAATACTATTAATGTTTTGATATAATTTTAGGATTATAAAAATTGTAAGCAAATTTTAAAATTTCTTCAAGTCTGTAGTTTTTCAAATTAAATTAAAACGCATACTTCATTTAATGTCACCTAAATAACAACAACAACAAAAAATGTACAAATTTAATTCAAATTTAATTTGTTTTGAAAAACTACATATTCAAGAGGAAATTTAAAAGAGACAAAAAAAGCAAATATTTTAAGGAGAAAAAAAAAAAAAAGTTGTTTTTCACTAATGTTAGTTTTTTTGTTTAGAATAAATTATATTAAATATCAGAAATGATAATTAATATCATTTTTGAAATAAAATAGAATGCTTAAGCATTCTATTTTATAAGCTTCTGTATACTACAATAAGCTTCCCGTAAAAAAATAAAAATAAAAATTTATACATACACACAAAAAATTGATTTTTATTGATATGAAATCAATGATTGTTTTGACTCTTTATAAATATAAAAAATTTATATTGATAATTGTCAAATTTTTTTTTGCATTATCTTAAAATTCATCGGGAAATATAATTTATCTTATATATTTTTATATTAAAAAAGTTTTTATACTTTTATTTAAAAAATTTCTTATGGTTCATAAATGTCCAGGAAAAGTATGAAACCCCTCTCTTTTTGAGGGGATTGTCAACTTTACGAGGTCATAAAGGTGAGTTTCCACTCATCCGTTTTTTCACGGGAACGGGATAGGAAAGGGAAAAATAATCACGTGAGCATGCGTAGTTTTCCTTGAGGCATATTAAAACTTATACTACGCATGCCCACGTGATTATTTTTCCCGTTCCTTTCCCGTTCCCGTGAAAAAACGGATGAGTGGAAACTCGCCTTAACTTTTGAACGTTAAAATAATTATTTACTAAATACAAATTTTTCAGATGAAAAAAATATTTTGACTTTCTTTTTTGTGGAAATTTTAAACAATACGTTAATTAGGGTAAAAAAGCGTTTCCATTACAAGTTAAATGTATAAACAACATTTCTCTGTTTTGTATACTTCCTTTTGGTATTATTGCGGTAATTTGGAAGAATTTTTAATGTTTGGCATGTAAAACGATATAAGCAATACTAATCAATTTTTAAAAATTTTTTATTAACTATTGCAGCAGATAAAAAAAGTTCATAGAATCTATTATTAAACTTTTTTTGCGGTATACTTTAATAATATTGCGGTATAATTTAATAAAAGATTCTATGAACTTTTTTTATCTGCTGCAATAGTTATCAAAAATTTTTTTAAAATTGGTTAGTATTGCTCATATCGTTTTACATGCCAAACATTAAAAATTTTCAAAAAGATAATAGAGCTTTAGTCTGCCTAATTTGTTTTTTAAAAGGATCAAGAATGATAAAAATTAAGGAAGGAAGGGTGACATTGAACAGAACACGTTTTTTTTAAATCATTTGATTTAAACAATGAAAACTTTCCTAATGTACTAAAGTACATTAGCACTAAAGTACATTTGTACTAAAGTAGAAAAGCATTAGAAAGACTTGAAAAAGGAGATAAAAACATTATTCTGAGTAACCGTATAAAGTCTCAAAAGTCAAAGTATACTTACCAGAAACCAATCATTCTGTGTTTGTGACATTTGTAAAATTGCATAAACTACAATTACTTTAAGATCAACATCTAAAAATAGAGAAGAATCAAGTTGGGAAGAGTAAAGTAATCATCACAGTTTTGGAAGGGTTGATACAAGGTTCCTAGAAACCTTATAGACTATCCGCAAAGTCTGTTTTAAACCACAACTACCGAGACTAATAGGTCTAAGGTCCTCCCAAAAAACGTGTCATTTGGGTCTCAAAATCTTCCAAATTTTACCACTAGGTTTTGCTAATATAAAAAGCTCCTTAAATTAGCAAAAAGGCACAAAAATTTCTGCCCCCTTCCTCCACCTCAAATTAAGGGGTACGGGTAGCCTTATCTCGGCACTGGGTTTTAGGTTTTGTTTTCAATATTACTGATCTAGCGTAGGACTCGTTTTTTACGGATTTACTAAATAGGGGTGCCTGAAAAATACGTCTTAATTTTTTATAAAAAAATAAAGTATAGTTCACTTTATTTAATTTGTAATTAAAACAAAAATAAGTACATTATTATTCGACCGGGAAGCGAACACCGATCTCCGTTGCCACAGTCCACAACATCAGTCTCTCAGCCATGCGAACACATTGAAAAAGTGTAATTTAAGTTAACTAAAAATAATATTGGAATATATATTTGAAGACGTTTTTTCAATTGGTATCCTGTGCCACAAACAAGGAGCTTTTGGGTCGTATAGAATATCTAAGGTTCCTACTACACCTTTTTTTTTTCTCCCATTAAATTTTTTATTGGGGAAGGCCTAGAGTAATTAGGACCCAAGCCAAGTTTTTCATTTTTTTTTTAAATTTTCATTTTTAAAAATAACAAGCATTTATATAAACATAAGGGTGTTTCAAAAAAAAAAGAAGCTCTCTTCTGGTTCCAATTCTATGTGACCTAAAGAAGACCTAAAAAAATTTGACGGTTTTATTTTGACAGAAAATGTAAAATCTGAACTTTACTGTTTTAATGTTAAGCTGGTTCAACATTAATGGAAAACACAACATTTTTACATTTTAGAAAATTAAAACAAAACAATTAAATGCAAATAAATCATTTCGAATTGTTTTCTACTATTTAAGTTGATAGTTTATATTTATGAAAATGATAGTTTATATTTATGAAAATAAATATGAAAATACAAAAAAAACAAAAAATCATGAAAATTAATTTTTATTAGCAAATTTAAGATTTTATTGTGGCAAAACATTTCTCAAAAAATACAACTTTTTGAGCAGTTCCCAAGCTCCTTTTTAGTCATACTCTTAGTCAAGTTTTTTTTTTTTAACTACAAAAAGTACATTTTAAAGATGATCTTCATCTCTAGTAGCTGAATTAATGAGCTTAATGTTTCTTTCTGCACCATCATTTACAACAGATATGTTTTTGATTCATACAATAAAATCTAGCAACTGAGGATGGTTAAAAACATCTATAGTATTAAGACTATTATTGAGCCATTCTTTTATACTTGCTCTTGATATTTTAAAATGTTTGAAGAGAAGGAAGCTTTGCTCGGAAATCAACTCAGGTAGTCTCTCCAATTTTTACCTTTGATGGTTTACAACGCTGAAATTCATATGGCTCTTCAAACTCAATCAGAGCAGAGCATATATATATACCTGTATAACAGCATTCTTAGCTTTATTACAGTAGGAACTTTTTTATTTCCAAAGGACAAATCACAAATATGTGGAGTTAAGTACCACTTATAGCGTCCCATGCTGAAAAGCATTTCCAATATTCTTACTGACTTTTCTCAATACATAGGCTCTCTGCATAGCTTTTAAACCATTTTAGAAAGCCAGAAATCCTAAAAAAACTTTTCAAAAACCATTGAGCATAGCAAGTTGCAATGAAAAAACTTGCATCCTTCAACTGCAACGCTACTTTTTCTGTCAAAATATTACTGATATCTTTGGTAATATAAAGAGTCAGAATGTAGATCGCATCTGCTAAAAATCTTACCTGATGGCAGGCGCCAGGTTGATGGAACTTAAAATCTTGTACTTCCACTCTAAGGAAGAAAGAGGAAGGCTAACAAACTGTTACATAATCATTCCTTGAAAACACTATAACATTTGTTGCATTAGTCAAAAATGTCTTAGCTTCCTCTGCAACAGTGAGAAGAAAAGAGCCAATCTTCAGATTATCTCTTTTGCCAGTCCAATTTAAACAAATTGTTTTACTTCATTAACTTTCTCACAGATTTCAGGCCACTTGTTCTTTAGCTTGACATAAAGAGCTCTTCTTGGACCTTTAGTTTTTTCGCCAGTAAAAGCAGCCATATAGTGAGATACATGTACTTCATTTATGTGTCTCCTACACATTATCCACAACATTGGTAAATTTAAAATATTTGAAAGAATTTGGACTGCTTCATTGACTCCGCCTGTATTGCTTGCAGTTGTATCACAGCTTATACCAACAATCTGCTCTTTACATTCATAATATTCTAAAAGTTTGTGCACTTGTTCTGCTTGGTCAAATCCCTTTGAAGAGGGACATTGAACAACACCTAAAAGATGGTCTTCCATGGTATCGTCATCTGGGGAACTCACTGAGACTGCAAGTTGCTCAACTTTTTTGAGTAATGTTAAGCCCAGTGGTAATTAGTTCCAACAGTTTGGTATCAAAATGAAGAATAAGCCGTCGGCCTTTAAGATGATTAAATATTAAAATCCACTCCAAGTCTCCTTCAAGTTCTGCATATTTGAACTATGAAATTTTTTTTCTATGAAATTTGCTTCGTTAAAGCGGTATATCATTAATTTCTATACCTCCAGCTTTAAAATTGCCAGATGAGATCGTACACTGACATTGAACCTTGATACTAGAATAGCAATACATTCAATGAGCTTTTCAACATTCACAACTATAGTTCACTGCTATATTTATCCTATCTCTAGAATTCTACCTAGGTATCATTTAAAATATTTTTCTACCTATTTATAACTATATACTTTTCATTAAAACAGCTTTAGCTTGTTTATTAAAATAATTGTTATTAAAATAATACTACACTTGCGTTTTCGAATTTTACCCAGGAAATCTTTATCCTCGCTGATTTCAGAGTCCTCGTTTGACTTTTCTTCCTCATTGCTAAATTGAATCTCTTCTGTCATGGAGTCAAGTGGCAAAAAAACATCATTGATATCTTTTAAGTTTTTCTTTCTCTCTAATTCTTTCTCTCTCAACTTATCTAGCTTGTTCTTTCTCCTGTTTGCATCCAGTACTCTCCTACTGCAGTCTTCACCGACTTTTGTTCCTATACATCCTTTTCGTATCCAATCTCTGGTCTTCATAAAAACTGAGAAATATTTAAATAAATTAAGACATTTGTTAAAAAATGAAAAATTACAAATTTTTTGCCAAACCTAGCATTATCCTAAATTTTTTTAATCCTAGTTACCAAGCAAGAACTATCAAGATCTGTACAAACACCATTTTCACAAACAAGATCCTTGGATTTCAATTTCAATTTGCAACCAACATTAGTAGAAGTGGATATGTATTTAACCTGTGACTCGCGAAGGATAAATTGATAGTATCTTAGAATATCACCATTAGATGGAAGCTGTCTCTGAAGTAAATTCCTCATTGGGTACTTCAATAGGAAAATATACCTCAACCTTTCTGTATTTTTCCTTTTTTTCTTATTCTGTCCCATCATCATCTTTTTTTTTGCTGTTCTACCTATTTTTTATTTGAATTTTCAAATAATCAGTTATTTAATTAAATTTATACTAAATTATACACTTACATCAAAAATCAATAAAGTCGTTATTCCCTAACGAATTTTTACAAGAGAATTTCTTCGTGCACAAATTAGAATTCTTTTGTGCACAAATAATTCCATTTAGAAGTTTTTTCCTTCAAAAAACAATTCTAAATGGAGTTGTTTGTGAAGAAATTATATCGATCGCTAACAATGTTCATAGGGAATGATGCTAATCTTTAATAATGTCCTTTTGGAATTATTTGTATACCAATTATTACATCATATTAAAACATATTGAAATGCTAAATAGCGCTGTTTTTATGAAAATACACATATGTGTACAAAACCATAAAACTCAGAATTTACATCTATCACTTCTAGTCATTAAAAAAATAAAAAAACAAAAATTTTGGTAGCTGTTTATGACTTATAGAATGGGGATCAGTTGAGAACACATTGAAGTTTTTAAAAAAAATGTGTTTTTGGGATACCCTAATAAACATAGCAACATTAGCAAAAGTTGCTATTATTATATAGCTAAGAACAAGAAACTCTTTTTCAAACAATTTTTTCAAGTTTTAACAATAATAATATACAATATATATATATATATATATATATATAACAATACTTCAAATAACTTTTATTTACTTATACCTAAAAAATTAAAACAAACTATTAACTTATAAATATACAATTTACTCAAGTGGTAAGTATGATGTCGTACGGTTTTAAAGCAAATGAAATTAGTTAGCTTTATAAAACTTTTCTCAAACAAGTTTGGTATCTGTAAAAGTAACAATAAACACACACTTATCTAGGTTATACATAGACCGAATGATGCTAACTTAATATAATATATCGCTGAATCCTTCAAATTAGTTAATAGCTTAATTAGGAAGCCCAATGATGGCTGCTTCATTGTTGGTAATTTTAACATATCACATTTCCTACGTCCAGACCCCATATAGTTGCTCAAACCATATGTTAGACTTGTTATTTACCTACAGCAGTAATTCTATTTTAAATCTTGTTTTTCTAATGCTATATTAGGTAATAATACGAAGTGCCGCTTTAGTATCACAGAGAACTTTTAGTTTTAAAACCGTTTCCCGAAAGTGAATCTCAGTTGTTTCGTTACTGCAGGTGATAACGATTTAATATCAAACTTTACTGCATCAATCAATTACAATATTTCATTTCTGCATAAAACCGCAGATCAAATATTAAGTTTGATAATTTCTAACATTTGAACTATTTGCGAATATTTTATCCTCAGGGTTAATAAAACAACGAAAAAGTTGCTTGGGTTAATAAAACAACGAAAAAGTTGCTTGGGTTAATAAAACAACGATAAAGTTGCTTG